ATTGATACCATATTAACTTCAGTAGCATACAAAAACTCTGCTCATATACAGCTCTGTCCTTTCCTTTTTGTTACTGATGTCACGGATACCATTCTTTTATACATTGTCCAGTAACTTAGATGAATATTTTTTATGCATTTGTCTTTTAAAACATAGAAAAGAAAAAGTGGAGTTACAATCCATAATTACACCAATACTTGCTTTTATAATTGCCAATGTGTTTATCTTTACCAGAGATCTTCATTTCTTCATATGGCTTTGAGTTACTGTTGAGGGTCCTTTTATTTCAATCTGAAGGATTCCCTTCAACATTTCTTGAAGAGCAGAAATGTTAGTAGTAATGAACTTTTGTTTATCAGAGAATGTCTTAATCTTAATTCCCCCCCCCCTTTTTTTTGTTGTTGTTGTTTTGGAGACAGAGTCTTGCTCTGTCGCCCCTGTTGGAGTGCAGTGGCATCATCACAGCTCACTGCAACCTCAAACTCCTGGGCTCAAGGGATCCTCCTGCCTCAGCCTCCCGAGTAGTTGGGAGTACAGGTGCATGCCACCACACCCAGCCTCCCTCATTTTTGAAGGACAATTTTGTCAGATACAGAATCTTCCATTGACAGTTTTTTTTTCTATCAGCACTTTGACTGTATCAGTTGACTGCCTTCTGGCCTCTAAGGTTTCAGAGGACAAATTGGCTGATAATCTTATCGAGATCCCTAGTATGTGACAACTTGCTTATCTCTTGCTGCTTTCAAGATTTTCTTTTCTTTGGCTTTCAACAGTTTAATAATAATGTGTTTGGTATAGGTTTATGAGTATTTGCTCTTAGGAGTTTGATGATCTTCTTGAATTTGTACATTATGTCAATCATGAAATTTGGGGAGTTCTGACCATTATTCCTTGAAATATTCTTTCTGATCCTCTCTCTTCTCTTTTGGAACTCCCATAATTCATTATGTTTATCCTCTTGACAGTGTTCTATAGGTCCCTTGCGCTTTGTTTACTGTTCACTTTTCTTCATTTTTTTTTTTCTGCAGATGGAGTAGCAATCACAAGGAATCTGTCTCTCCACCTAGACAACAACTGTATTGGCAGAAATTCTCTGAAGTAACTATTTTGGAACTCTGGAGTCTACTTGAATGCTTGCATCTTGCAAGGGAGAGGTTGGCTGGTAAATTGAGGTTAATTTCAATGTTAGCCTTTAGTGTGATAGCAGCTACTGATTCATAGTCCCCCTAACCCAGTGGAAGGCAGCTGTATCCACATTTGTGGTGTGGCTTGCTGGAGCCAGAGTGGGCAATAGGAACTTTGTCCTCCAAATACTGGCTATCTATGTTCTGATTGCTGATTGCTGCTTTTGATCACTGAGGTGCAGGCATAGAGGCTGGCCACCATTGTTTCAACTCCCACCAGTTGAACTGGCTTCCAGGGGTTTTAAAGGAACAACACCCGTTTTATTTGTTTGTTTACCTATTACCCCATTTGGGAGTGAGACATTAAAGATTAGGATGTCCAAAAGCAACCACTTAGACAGGAAAGTAGAAGGCTACCTGTATATAACCAGTGAAAGACAGAGGCTCAGAAAAGATGTGAGAAGACCTTAAGCTATCATCTTAGGCTGATTCTGATCTCCAGCACAGAGTCAATTTAAGAAAACAGCAAACCTAGGGGCAGAAGGAGAATCTAATTTTCAGAGTCACCACAGTATAAGATTCAGATGTTCAATTTTCAACAAAAAAATCACAGACCATACCAAGAAATGGAAAAGTATGGCCCATTCAAAAGAAGCACATAAATCAACTGAAACTGCCCCTAAGGAAGCCCAGGTGTCTGACTTAATGGACAAAAACTTTAAAACAACTGTTTTAAAGTTGCTGAAATAGCTAAAGGAAGACATGAATAAAGTCAAGAAAACAATGTATGAACAAAATTAGAATATCTTTAAAGAAAGAAATTATAAAAAGAAACCAAAATGAAATTCTGGACTTAAAAAGTACAGTAACTGAAATGAAAAGAGGAGGACAAAAGCAGATTTGAGCAAGAAGAAAGAATCAGCAAACTTGAAGATATTTCTTTTTTATATACTTCTTGAATCCTGTTCCCTTTTCTTTTCTACTTCCTTAGTTCAAGCCTTCATGATTCTAGGCAGCCTCTAAGTTGTTCCATGTGCCTCTTATTTTGCCTGCTCTAGTCTTACTAGAGTGATCTTTTTAAAAACCCAAATCTGATATTGTCACTGTTTTTAAAAATATCCAAAGGCATCCTTATGTCTATAGAGTAAACTTCAGTTTTCTCATTTTAGCATTTCAAGATCTTACCTTTCTGGCTCCAGTCTACCACATTGCTTTATCTCACACTAGCTCCATATTCCACTCATACATTTTAACCATATATTCTAAGCTACAAAGCGACTTCCTGAAAAAAGTTGAGCACATTTGGAAACCAAAATTAGTTTTCTGTGACTGGGATAAGATATTAGACTATATGGCATTGGTAGGCATTGAGAAAGACTATATATAAAGTCTATTTTAGAAATGGACTCAGTGATAAAAACAGCTTGTATGTCATCACTAATCCAGTGGCCAACATTAGCATCACTGTATTAGATACTATAATATTGTATCTAATATAATGAAACATCAAGTATAACACAACATTACATATGATGTGTAGTCTAAGATGTTTGACTTGAATCCATTGACCCTTCGGGTATAACCTCCATTTTGCAGGAAATACAGGCTTAGAGGAACAAATTCAAGGACTTCTTGAGGAAGCAATCATTCAAATCCAAAAATTTTCTACTTCAAGTGGCCTGATTTCTGTAGACTTTAATCTTTAAAATTTTTTCTTAAGTTTCATATTTACTTATTTATTTATTTTGATACAAGGTCTCACTCTGTCACCCATGCTGGAGTGCAAGGGCCCAATCATAGCCCAGTGTAATGTCAAACTCTTGGGCTCAAGTGATCCTCTGCTCAGTCTACCAAGTAGCTGGGATTACAGGCATGCACCACTATGCCCATCGAATTATTTTGTTGCCCAGGCTGGTCTCAAAAACCAGGCTTCGAGTGATCCTCCCACCTCATCCTCCCAAAGTGCTGGGATTACAGGCCTGAGCAACTTGAGTATCATATTTAAAAACACTTAAGGGATATAACCAGATGCAATGCGTGATCCTAAATTGGATACTGATTTGGGAATACTGGTTGTAGAAAAATATAATTTGGTCAACAGAATGTTTGATTGTAGTTAGGTATTAGATGAGAGGAAATTTTCCTGAAATGATATCACTGACTTGGGAAAGCCAGCTTTCCCAAGATAAAAAGGTATTTTTAGGCTGACAGAAAATTGGAATGTGATCTAGTAATTAAATGAGAGGAAAATTTTGCTGAAATAAGTTAGATATTGTTAATTGATAGAAGCAAATTAATAAACTTCTCATTTTGAAAACACACACACAAAAGGATATGCACTAAAGTATTAACATTCATGGTGGGAATGCGATATTTTTATTGTTTATTTTAGTTTCTCTTTTCTGTTTTTCTCCAAGGCATATTGTACTGATTGTATAATGAACTTTTATATAAAAAAATGTAGAAGATTGACATATATATCTGGGGTATACATTCGAATCAAGAAATACATGAAATTATGGTTACCAAAAGTTAATCATGGTTTTGTCAGGAGTTCAGGGGATTTTTTTCTCCCTAATACTTTATTATTCGAATACATTAAAATGAGTGTGCATTATATAGCTGTATAAGGAGATCAGAAAAGTATTTTCCTGCAGGGGCGCAGATATGTCTGTTGTAATAGATAAGTCACAAAAAGGCACTGTAACAGAAAACAGCTTTTCTTTCATTGCATTTGGATGCAGTATCCACAAGAAAACATTGCAGGTGACTCCTTCACTGGAAAAAGAGCATTATCATTTGAATAAGGAAAGTGGGAGAGGCTGTGAAATTATTTTATAAATTATCAAGTCTTAAGAGTTGGTGTGGTAGTGCACACCTGTGATCTCAGGTACTCGGAAGGCTCAAGCAGATTGCTTAAGCCCAGGAGTTCAAGGCTGCAGCGTGATATAATTGCCTATGAATAGCCACTGCACTCCAGCTTGAACAACATAGTGAGTTCTCATCTTTTTAAAAAAAAACCAAAAAACAAAAAACCCTCAAGTAGCACCTTTAATAATCATTGTTTTTGTTCCCAGCTACATTGTGAATTTATTGAGGACAAGGACTTTAAACTTCATTATATTGCTGTTGTTCTTATGTTTCACTTTTGAATGATTTTTAAATAAAACCTCATCTTTGAGTCAGTCTGAAACAACACTGTTCATTTCTGTCCTCTTCTGTGCCTGAAGTACACCAAAGCAGCTGTGTTGTACCCGTGCTTTTGGACTTGGAGAGTCAGAAGTTTTAACTTTTACACTGGATTCTGTAACTGGGGCTGCACTATTCTATAAAATGAGAAAAAGCATACCATTTTCACAGATTTGTAGTAAAGCTAAATTAGATGCCTGTGAAAAGATCTATCATGATCCCTGGCACACTCTGCACCCTCGTTAAATGCCAGGTGAATTTAGTCAGAATGTTAAGTGCTCATTTTCAAACAGGACTTGATCATGAAAGGTGAGCAGAGGATTCCTTGCTTTAGCACCAGTACTCTTTTGGAGTTGTACCTAGGCTCAACAGGTGGTACCCAGCCCGCGCTCATCGCCGCCAGTCCTGGTCCCAGTTCCACCTGCAGTCCCATAGTTGCTGCCTGTCCAAGCCCACACGCTGACTACAGCTCTAGATCCAGCTCCCACCCTGCGGAAGTGCGCAGGCTCACCGTCCTCAGGCGGGCAAAAGCCCAGGTGGAGCGCAGCTGAAAGGAAAGCCTGCCTCACTGCCTGGTATTGGGCCAATGGGGACGCATGTCTTGGCCGCGGGCCTATGAGATGGGCTAGGAGGCGGGGCGGAGGGCGGAAGGAGCCGCTCTCACGTGAGTAAGGGGGTGGGGAGGGCGGGGGTAGGACGGCTGGGGAGGCCCAGGCGGCGGAGCCTCCGGGACGGCGAACGGCAGGCTGCGGAGGAGGAGACGGCGGGTCGGGTAGGGCCGCGTTTCCCTCCTCCTCTTTCCCTTCTGTCCATCAACCCCGGGGGGATTTTCCGACGGCCCTTGCAGGGAGCCACGCTGTCTTCTCATCCTGCGGTGCTGGGTCGGTGGGGCTGTGCTCTGCTCCCTCGACGGGCCGAGTTCTGAGGGGAGCCGTGATTGGGGGGGAGGGGGAGCTGCGACGGAGGGGAGAGGGCGCATGCGCAGGCTGGGACGCTCCGGCAGCCCCTGCCCAAACCGGTTCCCCCTGTCTGGGTAGGTGTCTGTCTTCCGATTCCTGCATATTTGGCCGTCCCTTTGGCCCCCCAGCAAAGCCGGTTTGTGTCTTGACTTTCGTGTTTTGAGCTTGGTCCTATTTGCGAATTTGGCCGCTCCCTCCGCCTCAGTTTCTCCCCATCGCTCACAAGGCCTGTATCTGTTGCTTAGGCTGGCTTGGGCCTCAGGCCGGTTTGCTGGGCTGCTGCTAATTTGAAACACTTGCTTTCTTTCAGTGTCGCCCTGCCATCTCATCTTGGTCTTTCTGTCTCATTTTCCCAGCCTGCAATTAGTGTCCCTGGCATCCCATTCTCCCCTTCTAGTTGAAACATCCGCCTCAGTACCTCGTCGCTGTGTCTTTAGATTTTTAGCAACCTTCAAGGTTTTATGTGTTGAGCCAAAGGATAACCCCAGATTTCCAGGAGTTCGCTGTCCATTGCCTGGTAGTACTTTTGTCCCTACTCTTCTAACATCCAGACTATTTATCATCTGCTCCAGCTTTATACGTATCTCCATACCTGTTGTTACTCGAAGATTCTTTTTCTTGGAAGCAGATGTCCTGGGAGACAGTGTTAAGTGCTCATGCAACTAGTGTTCCCGCTACTAGTGCTCCGTTAGTTTAAAATCATGATTCAACTTGAATTTGAGATTTTTGGATTTGTGTCTTTTTTTAAACAACGGGAAAAAAATGTCAGGGACAAGGTTTCATAATGTAATATTTTCATTCAGATCAACTCCTGTATTCACATACTCATAATAACTAGTGAGTGTGTGTGTGTTTCCAGCTGCTTTGTTTATTTAGGAAGAAAAATAACAATGGAGGGTGAATGGAACTATATTTGTTACATTAAACTGATGTTCGAAAAGTTTTTGGGAAACAAGCTTAGGTACCAAGGAAGTACACATCCAACTTTTTTTTTTAAGAAAGACCTGTTGTCTTAATTCAAGTCCGTATAGGACGCTATTTAATAAACATTGAAAATTTTAAAGTAGAGCTTATTTATAAAAACTGATAGTGAATAGGGGAGAGAGATCTTTATAAGCTTCCTTTGTAGACTTTAGTTTGTATTAATAAGATTTGTATCCATGATTGATTTGTATGTATTGGTAACGTAAAATTCGCATGTAACTGTAATACAAAGTATTAACTCAAACTCATGAAGTTGAATTATTGCTATATTGTGGTACACTTCCTTTTCATTCAGTTTTGTAATTCAGTTTACAGTTAACTCCTTGGCATTAATAAGACATACATTTGTCTGGAAAGTTAACCCATCAGTTATATGTATTTTGGCATTTTTTGTATAATATTTTGTTAGCAGTTTACAGGGACTCTGTAAAAAGTGAAGACACCTGTTTCCTATCTTTGCTGCATATTGAGAGAAGTACATTCACATTATATCTAAGTTATGTACGCGAGGGGACTGATTTTCCACACAGTATAACAACTTTACAGCCTAGTTTCTTTTAAAGAAGTCATTGTCTTTTATTCAGTGTGCTTCCAGTTAAAGAAAAACCTTTGAAGGTCTCATCATTTCCCAGTAATTGTTTTAACAAGTAACCTTCGAATACAGGCTTCAAAAAATAATTAGTTTAAATCAGTGCTGCTGTTGAGTATCTTTATAAAAACACTGGCGTGCTATGTTTCTGACATAGGCTGCCCATGATGTTATCTTTGTAATTTTCAGTATAATCAGATATCATTAGACTTCTCAAGCATGTGGAATAAATGAATACAAGATTCTTAAATGATCTTTCTTGACAAGACTGTACTTTCAGGGATTATTTCTATAGCTAGTTAAATAATCTTTTTTGGAGATAGAACAGAAATATTTTTAAAGTGTCAATGTATGTAAAGCAGGGTTTCTGACATTTTGGTCCTGTGTATGTAATTGCCTTGTTGTTTATAGTTAGATCCTGAGGAAAGAAAATCCAAGGCTAAGGACTTGATGCCTATGGATAGACCTCAAAAACAAAACCAAACCACTGTATCAACTTCGTAGCTGCTGCTTTTTTTTTTTTTTAGCATAAACTGATTACCTAGTCATCCCCACCATCCCCACCCCTTTCAGTTTTGTATTGATCCTGAGATCATTATTCTTCAGAAAACTTGTAAGTCAAAAACAGTATTGAATAGACATTTAAACTTGACATTATGAAGACTCATGTCGACCCTAGTAGCCTGTTTCTCTTCATGTGCAAAGACTGACCAAATATGGAAGTCTGCAAGTCATGAACATGTTAGTTTATAGAATTTGGACTGGAAATTTCCCTTCTCTTTCCAAGTCCACTATAATATTCTGAGCTAAACATCAGTGAGAATGTGTTGAAAATTATTCCTTCTAGTAGGATAGAGCTCTGTAAGGCCTAACTTTCCCCCCCTAGATTTTTCTGACCACTAAAGAATAAAATAAAACCCTAAAACTTTTTAAAGTTCATACTGGACATTAAATAGTATATATCATCTTGGCTGTAAAACGTGAGAAATATATCTTCTGAATTGTATGGCTCTACTGCCATATGTGGGGGTTTGCATCTCTCCAAGAGGTCATGCATAGTTATGTATTTCTAGTTAAAGTTACAGCAGCATTTGTATTATAAACCACGACTCTTTGGGATCCGTAAATATTTGTGGCAATAAAGTTTTCTCCATATTAAAATCTGACATTTCTTAAGGTGCATTAACAAATGGATTTCTGTGGTAAGTTTAGCATAATATTAACTCAAAGCTTAATAATAATTTGACGATTTTAAGACTTTTTCTTTCCCATTTTTTCTTATACATTTTGGTAATTATAACCAACAACCTATGGTTATAATCTTGTTTTCCCTTTTCTGAGGATGACCTTTGTATCAGTTAAAAGAATTGATACACAGAATCTTTCCTTGAGAGCATACATTAAATATCATTGAGGATAATAAGAGTGTTCAGGCTAAATTGGGCATTTGTATAATACTAATGGAAAGTGCTGTGTGTTAATCATTTTAATATTTTTACCATAGAGGTAATAAACTCTCTTGTGCCCTTGAAGGTATGCCAATAAACTGAGATTAGGAATATGTCTCATAAATCTCTTTTGTCTCATAAATCTCATGCCGACACATGATTTTCTATGACTAGACCTCTGATATATCTGCAGAAGAGAAATGGTTATATCCTCATTATAGTTACCTATTGAATTCTCTGTGAATTCAGGAAAAATCTGATTCCTGTTTAACCTTAAAAGCATATATTTAAAATTCTCCTCTAGCGAAAAGGTTTTTTTTTTTTTTTAGTTTGTTGTCCTTGGTTATAAGAAAAGATCTTTTCAGATAGGTTTAAAAATATTTATGGAACTAAATTAAAATATTTGTAAATTTTATATCTTTTTACATAGTACCATTACAGTGGGGTGAATGAAGCACTCAGTAAATGCTTATTGACTGCTCATCCCTTATTGGACACACTTATCAAATGTCTCTTCATCCCTATATAAGTATGGACCAGGGCCTTCTCATATCAGAATGTGCAGAAAACACCTGTGTCTTCCGCCAAACATTCGTGGTTTGCCTGCTTACTCCCTTGAAAATCAAACAGGTCATAGAAAAGAGAAATTGTGTTTACTGCATTTACCTTATAAGGGCTTTGGTCATTTATTGAATGATTTGCTTGCTTGGCATTAAATTCACATAGATTTAGGAGAAATGAATAATGCAAACATTTCTGATCTAAGTGTAGACAAGTGGATATTCTAAATGAAATAGATTCATTTTCTAATTATGGGTGAGAAGGAACTATATTAACTAATTTCCTAAAAGATAGAAAGATCTTCGAACAACTCTGCATTGCTTAAAAGTATGCACATGTTTATATTTATAAAATGCTAATGTAATTATATTATACTTTAAAAATCTGTTCAGAATAAGTAAAGACAAAGTTTTTTTTTAATCTATAATAGCAAAGTAAGATATATAATCAAATCTGACCTTGTGAATGAGTAGTACATTAACATTAAGCTAACTTTCCCTGTGTTCCCAGGGGTAGTTTCTGTTGTGGAAATGGCATCCAAATAACGATTCACATATTTAGTTTCAGAGATACCGTGTTGAAGTGGCATAAAGCCAGAATACCTAGAGTTCTGGAAAAAATTAAAGTAGTGTTTCCTGAATTATCTACAGAAGCATGGGAAAACCATTTATAAGGTTTTACTTTTTCAGGTGTTAATATTATTGCATTCAAATAATCAACACAGAGTTAAATGAGTTGTTTTATGTGCATTTCATCCCCTCTTCTTACCTCTTATACCTTTCATTAGATGTATCAAGGTATAGGGGAGATATGAATTTTAGGATCAGAAAGACATTGATATCCCAAGTATTGCACTTAGTATATGACGGAAGGTAAGTTACTTAATCACTTTGAGACCCAGTTTATTCACTTGTTGAAACAGAGCTACTTGTGCCTACCTCATGAAATTGTACTAGAAAGCACCTGATGTTTTTCCCCCTTTCCTGGATACTCACACACAGGAATTAAGAGTTCAGTACCCTCATTTTACATAACTGAAGCTACAACACTGTCCAAGTCAAATCAAAAAAGGACCCTTTCTGTTAAAGTATTAATAATACTAGATTATTAAGTTTAAAAAAAATTCTGATAAAGCTTGATGACTGGCTGGGTGCAGTGGCTCTCACCTATAATCCTAGCACTTTGGGAGGCCAAGGTAGGAGAATCACTTGACCTAGGAGTTCCAGATTAG